TCAATTTTCGTGAAATTTGATGATAATGTCAGAATTATAATGAACCCCAAAAGTGTGTCCCGGATTTTCGATTTTTCCTTATTTCTCGAGATATGGCGACTACATTGAAAACTTTGCTCAAGAGTGCTACTTTCAAGTTTAAAAGATAATAATCCAAAAATAACGAATCGTAAAAATACAAATCCCGGACACCCTCAAAATATATGCAGATCACGTTCCGATATAAAAGAAACGTGTTGATTAAAATGCGTCGTCCTATAAACTTATCTTGTAAAGCGTCACGGCGTGAGAGAATAAGCTCCCGTTCTGTTCAATGCATATCTCAAATCACTCTTTATTAAGTTTTAAGAAAATGTATTCTTTTACTGGAATAGGGCGCATAATTTTAGGCTATCTCAGTTTGAATGAAAGCGCTAATTTTTCATCTGTGATACTTTAAGCTCAAAGTATCACCTGCTTTAGATATCAAACGTTCACCACTCTTCGATGTCTTTTGCGTTTTTTCCCCTTTGTCTTTTTCCGCCTGGCATTTAAGAGAAAATGGGTTTTTTTCACAAGTGAGTGACATTTTTTCAGTACACAGAACATTTAACTAAGTATTTAATTCATAGAAGAAACAAGAAAGTTCTTGTTAACGGACAAATTGACATATAAGGTTTTGCCTGACTCACGTACAAACTTGGAAATGACAAATTAAGTAAAGAACCACAACCGCTGAACCTGTCATGTGACAGGAAACTTTCCATCAGTTGATCAAACAAAGCGGAACTTGGAAATTTCACCACACGTATCACTATCTACAAATATCTAACTTCCGCCACGCTACAGCGTCCCTTGTCTTTTACCGTTTGGCAGTTCAAGATCATACTTATAAATTTTGTAACGCTCTCAGTGTTTCACAACTCAACCCATCTGTTTCACCTGCTCCTCCTCCTTAGACAATTGCCATATCATGACCCTTAATAAATGCCATACTAGAAAATTATCACTCTGAATAATTATATATTTTTTCCTTTTTGTTCTTTATTTATCGCTGCTGTTGGCTGACGCAAGGCATTCAGGTGTTAAAAGTTCACTGGCCACTATCATGCTGCTCCTGCCTCTCTTAGTGTCTTTTCCTTTACTGTTTAACTTGATGTTTGCCATGCAAAACAGCGCTCTTTATCGATCTCCAACAAGCGATCTTTCTTTCGGTAACTTTAAGCGCGATCCATTCCATTACTTGTGGGCAGAGAAACTTTCATCATCCATGATGAGAGATCAGTTGGACTGCGGTTTTCTTTGTGTTGGTGAACCAAATTGTTATTCGTTCAACATGGCAGCGTATCCTGACTCCAAAGGTCTTTATCTGTGTGATTTGTTGGCCACAGACAAGTACAGAGAGGCTGAAAAGGTTCATGCAAATGCTACCTTCCATCACTGCAGTCCGTCGGTAAGATCTGTTCATATATTTGGTGCTTAACACTCTTCGTATTTCTTCAAATACAAACTGAATGATTCAAGGAACGTTTACTTTGTTTCTAGTCTCCATGTGAAAGCGCTCCTTGTAAGAACGGAGGTGTCTGTGTTCCTGAATATGAAAGGAACTCCTATCATTGTGAATGTAAGCCTGGATTTAACGGAACTCACTGCAAACGCTGCAAACGCGGAGGTATTGAATTTAGTCTTTTACTGTTGCATGTGGTAGAACTGGAAGAGTCACATACTGTCATAAACCACTATTCTTGTATGTATATGGTTTACCTCTTTTCAACTTTTGGCTATGAATTCAATTCAAATCGGTCTATTGTACTTCTTTTCCCCGATAAACATTCCCCAAGTATATTTCCCGTAAAGAGAAAATAAATTTCGTGTTCATGTCAGGCACTTTATATTAAGATAAATGAAATCTTTTACTTCTAAATTTCTTATGTTCTTTGTTGCTTTGTTATTTGTTTTTTAGGACATCGAACTTGCAGTGACATCAAATACTGCAATCCTGAGGCTAAAAATGGCTCTTATGTCATCGACCCTGATGGAGAAGGCGGAGTGAAACCATTTAAAGTCTTCTGTGACATGACTGACAAGGGCGGGATAGGAGTGACAGTTATCAGTCACGACAGTGAAAACAGAACAAAGGTGGCTGGGTTTGAAGCCCCTGGTAGTTATTGGCGTAATGTTACTTATGATGAAACCAGTCTAATTCAGTTAGCAAGCTTAACAGCTTCATCTTCTCACTGTGAGCAGTTTATTAAATACGAGTGCTATCGTTCAAGGCTCATTTTAAATAATGACATGATCGGCTGGTGGGTATCACGTGATGACGAGAAGATGGAGTACTGGGGTGGAGTCAACTCTGTTCCCTTTAAATGTGCATGCGGTTTGAATAACACGTGCGCGGACAGCAATAACGGCTGCAACTGCGATAAGAACGATGGGAATTGGCGAGAGGACAGCGGTTTACTAACAAACAAGTCCAAGCTTCCCGTGATTCAAATGAGGTTTGGAGATACCGGTGATGGTGACAACGAAAAAGGATATCATACGCTTGGAAAACTGGAGTGTTATGGACTTATCTAATGAGAAGTCACCAAGACTATATGTTGAACATTGATAATATTACTTGTACATTGTACTCCCTCTCTTAGATCTGAATTAAAATGGAGGTCCATGATAGTCAAGAGAAATGTAATGAATTGGTAATTTGATTGTAATGTAGTGAGAAAAGTGGAGAAATTCATAATGTGTGATTTAAAGTATTTGAAAAAAATTTTAAGCGGATGTTATACTCAGTGTCACACTGTCCAACGGTTGGACTGCTGAAGTGTTTTCGACTCATTTAAGACTCAAATACAGGTCACGAACTTTTAATAGTTACTATAGTGATACTTGTATATCAAAATCCATTTGTTTTTAATAATAAACATTTCCCTTTTACCGCGTTTGAGAATTCCAAGAGACGTGAAGACTCTTGCCTGCGGTGAAAAATCTGCCATCGTTTTACAAAACTCATACATGCTTCTAATTCGTCGAAATACATCTTTGATGTAATTTTTATGATGACACAATTTGTTAACCAAAGCAAAGGGGAGACGACCAAGCTGGAAGTTAGTCTGCTAAGAAAATCTTAAATTAAAGATTCAAAAGACTTTATAGTTGCAAACTTTCACCCCTTTTGGGTTCCAATAAAATATGCTAAATCTGAAAATGACTGTAAGTCTAGTATTAGCACTTGAATTCGAAGCCTACAGTAGATAGTCATCTTTGTTACAATTTTTCTTTTTCCCTCTGTTTGGATTTTGCAAGTGATTAAATTATTTGTCTGAGACATTTCATCGGACAGACCTTGATGACCTCTCGTCGGCGCCTTCTACATTTCAATATATGCACGCAAATTCTCAATACCACTAAACAACAAAATGTTATGTATTATGTTAAGGATTTAAAGTGATGCGACCATTACAGTCCCCTTCAGGATAAATTATATTAATACTCACTGTCGCCTTCTCTCCACCTACCCATGGAGCCTAAAAACGTTGTCAATCGTTTTATTCTTCAACTAATGGCCCACTCTTTAAATGCACTGAAATACCCTTGAGCAGGATACGAAGTCGGTCCTGTTTTTATTCATCAGAAAAGGCAACTTAATCTGGCGACGCAAAGCAATGAAATGATCAGAAAATACGATCTCAGGGAAATCATGATTCCTTTAAGCCATCATGTAAATAAAGTTTCCTCGATATGTTTTTACTTTATGATCATTTCCGGTGAAGTTTGAGTATATATTGATAACGAAGCGACAAAGGGCACTGTTTTGCTGCCACCGTTTTGTTTCAATATAGCACTTTGCATAAACTGTTGAGCAAAAAGTCTAAGCCTATTGATTTACGAGAGTACATGTCTGTTGAACTAACCATACATTTTTTGGCGACGATATTTACTTAGGTGTTCAAATAAAAAATTGCATTTTTTTTTTTAGTTTATACAGTTTCTCCTCTCGATTAACTTAATTTCAAAGATAAAGCGTATTCGGAATGAGAGATAAAAGAAACGCATAAAAATATAATTGAAAATGCTAATAAACAGAGATGAAACGACTGACTTTTTTGCAAATAAAATACATTATCGAGGCTCGCGTGTTTTCCGATCTTCACATGTCAGACAGACATGACGTAGATGAATTTAAGAGGAAAACAACTTTAGCTTCTTGTAGTTGGTACCAAGTTATTACAGAAATATGAATAGTTAATAGTATTTAAACCTATTTGTATAGAAGGCATCAATAGACATCGTTTCCTCAGTAAAAAAGAAAAAAACAGTTTGAAAGCAATTCTTGTAAAAAACGCTTCCTAAGAGAAAAGTGTCTTGGCATGATAAAAATAATAAAATATTAAATAAACAGCTGCTCCGCCTAAAAAGAAGAAACTTGTGGTCGGTGCCAATTTATGATCTCAATTTATTTCATTTATTGTTATCCTGGTGCGAGCCAAAACATAACTTCTTAAAGCAAACCTGCTAACAGGGACATGTGAAGGAGTAAGTAGAAACTTATTTTCAAGTTTGTTGTAGAGTAGGGAGCAGAGTACCAAAAATCCCTTTAAAATTAAGAAAAGATTGGTTCAAACCCATATAATAAATCATTAGCATGGTCAGAGTTAATAGATATTGAAATGAATATTTAAAACTTTTGAAACCCGTTGTATAGAAGGTATTAATTGACATCGTCCCCTCAATAGAAAAAAAAACAGTTTGAAAGTTATTCTTGTTAAAAAAAGCTAAAAAGTATCATGCAGGTTTGTCAAGGAGAGTTTTATTTAAGATGACTTTTTAAAACTTACTGTCCCACCTCTACTTCCCCTATAGTAGAAGTGTATCCCACCCATGGCACCTGCTTCATAGATGTGGCTACTAATTCTTAATTACCGACAGGCAATTATAAAGGACCTGTTTTTCATTTGCATATAAGTCTTCGGTGTCATACATCAGCTCATTCCGGTGGTGAGAGTTCATCGGCTACTGTCATGCTGCTTCTGCCACTCTTGTTGTTTTTTCCTTCTTTGTTAGGATTGTTGTTTGCCACACAAAACAGCGCTCTCTATCGATATCCAACAGGCCGTGCTTCGTTTGGTAAATTCAAGTGCGACCCTTTCTATTTCTTATGGGAAGAGAAACTTACATCGTCCATGGTGGAAGATAAGTTGGACTGCACTTTCCTTTGTGTCAGTGAACCAAAGTGCTATTCGTTCAACATAGCAGTGTATCCTGACTCCAAAGGTCTTTATCTGTGTGAGTTATTGGCCACAGACAAGTACGGAGAGGCTGAAAAGGTTCATGCAAATGTTACCTTCCATCACTGCAGTCCGTTAGTAAGATCTCTTCATATATTTGGTGCTTAACACTATTCGTATTTCTTAAAATAGAAACTGGATGATTCAAGGAATGTTCACTTTGTTTCTAGTCTCCATGTGAAAGCGCTCCTTGTAAGAACGGAGGTGTCTGTGTTCCTGAATATGAAAGGAACTCCTATCATTGTGAATGTAAGCCTGGATTTTGCGGAACTCACTGCAAACGTAGCAAACGTGGAGGTATTGAATTTAGTCTTTTACTGTTGCATGTGGTAGAACTGGAAGAGTCACATACTGTCATAAACCACTATTCTTGTATGTATATGGTTTACCTCTTTTCAACTTTTGGCTATGAATCAATTTCAATCGGTCTATTGTACTTCTTTTCCCCGATAAACATTCCCCAAGTATATTTCCCGTAAAGAGAAAATAAATTTCGTGTACATGTCAGGCACTTGATATTAAGATAAATGAAATCTTTTATTTCTAAATTTCTTATGTTCTTTGTTGCTTTGTTATTTGTTTTTCAGGAAATCGAACTTGCAGTGACATCAAATACTGCAATCCTGAGGCTAAAAATGGCTCTTATGTCATCGACCCTGATGGAGAGGGCGGAGTGAAACCATTTAAAGTTTTCTGTGACATGACTGACAAGGGCGGCATAGGAGTGACAGTTATCAGTCATGACAGTGAAAACAGAACACTGGTGGCTGGGTTTGAAGACCCTGGTAGTTATTGGCGTGATGTTACTTATGATGAAACCAGTCTAATTCAGCTAGCAAGCTTAACAGCTTCATCTTCTCACTCCAAAGGAGTTTATCTGTGTGAGTTATTGGCCACAGACAAGTACACAGAAACTGAAAAGTTCCATGCAAATGTTTCCTTCCATCACTACAGTCCGTTGGTAAGATCTCTCCATATGTTTAGTGATAAACACTCTTTGTAGTTTTTTTAATTCAAACTGAATGATTCAAGGAATGTTTATTTTGTTTCTAGCTTCCGTGTGTAAGCGCTCCTTGTAAGAACGGAGGTGTCTGTGTTCCTGAATATGAATGGAGCTCCTATCATTGTGAGTGTAGACCAGGATTGTGCGGAACTCACTGCGAAAGGGAAGGTATTGAATCTATCCTACTTTCTGTTGCATGAAGAACTGAAAAAAAACTCATACTTGTGATCACTTTCATTCACGTCTTTACCCACAGTTCAAATATATGACTTTCATGTATTCTTAAACGTTTAAAACTCATACTGTTATTCTCAATCACCTGTTATAAATTGATGGTTTACCAATGTTCAACCTTGTGCTATAAAATTAAATGCATTCGAATCATCAAACCGCCTAGCAGGTAATTTAGTGTTAACAACTGAGTTGAAAACGTAAATTAGCCACCGTAAAGGGTAAAAAAGCTGACGTTTCGAGCGTTAGCCCTTCGTGAGGGCGATACCAATCGATACTAATCTGGGTTAACGCTACCTCTTTATTCTTTTTTACTGCCTTCCCGATAAACATACCTTATTTGGCTTTTCCTTTAAAGTGCCTATGACAATAATTTTTTTTGCATAAATATTTAGCTTATCGTATGTTCAAACCAATTCCGATAAAAAACAAAATTTCAAATAACTTCAAACTTGGTTTTTCGGGCCTAAAAGTGCTCTTGTTTTGTTTTAAAAGTGTCCCGTGGACTGGTAACGAATTAGCGGGTTATGACGTAGAAAACTGTGAAAGCTCTCAGTGGACACTTGCAAATCTCTCACTTTTCTTGCAATTTTGTATCAGTCAGCGTTGAAATACTGTCCGATAGCGATGTATACCTACCTTCACCAAGCTCTACCGAGAGTTGATACATCGTACCCAATTAGTAAAGAAAAAATTGGAAGTTGCGAGAACGGTTCAGCCTTACGAAAGAGAACCATGTGTATCAAACGAAGATTTAGACGAAGACTGACAAAATGGTTTCTCGCCTGCGGTGTTTAGGTCAAGACGAGAACAAAAAAACTCCTGATACTGAATGTTTGGTTGTTGCGTTTGGCGCTTTGTTTTCTACGGCGAAATCCATTTTAAAAATAAGTAGCTGTGTCCGTTTTGGTCGTCTTATAATTTTATTCCTTTGCACTTAGTGGGGCGAAGGTTCTCCTTGCTCAGTGCTCTAGTGTTTCGTTGCTGTAGAGTAATTCCCTTAGCAAACCAAAAGAGAAGTCATCGGGCAGTTTCACTGCAAGTTGCTTCTTTCCTCAGAGATTGCAAAGGCAGAGGTTATCGTCGTCGAGCCGATCAAAAGGGAAATAGTTAGTTTATCTAAATTCAAGTCAATCTCAAATAAGGGTTTTAATAGAGAAAAACTCCTTTAGTTTAAGCGCAGCATTGCCATATGACCCATTTCGCTCAATGGCAAATAACTGACATTTGTGTTGTAAATAAATATTTCGTATGCATCGACTTTCGTACAGCGCTTGGATTCGCTACCATCCAATTCAATTATATTTGTGTTTATTTATTTATCTCGCCGGAAACCTAGGTTAGAAGGATACACAGCCCTTTCGAGCTTGTGTTTATACCAGTATCCGCGCCAGAGGTTTCTCACTGCTCAGGCAACAGGATATCGGTCAGCTCAGGAAAGGGCTTGAACTTGCTTACAAATAATGTATTTCTGTTATTAAAATACGATGAAAATACAATTAGTAGGATTTTCCCACGATTAGAAAAGTGTAAATGTAGTCATGTGAAAAGACAAGGAGTATGAGTACATCTCAAGCACGTGAAATAAAAAAAAAATAAGGAGCTTACCATTCTTTGCTTGCAGCCGAAAAGAATGTTGAACAATCGTGTGCGGTGTGGGAACAGGCATTTTTTTTAGCTAAATTAATGGTTATCTTCCCCTGATTTAACAAGTGGTATGTGTTCGTAACAGCCGTTTTCGAAGCCGGTACGGGGCATAAGGCCGACGACACTGAAGAGTAAAATCTCCTCGATGTCGACGATCGAGGAGCGTCCATTTTGGCCATACGGCTACATCCTTTGGAAATTAGTGTATAGAAATACCCGGTATATGTGTATTATTCTTGTAGCAAACATCTTTTAGCGCTCCAGCCACGCAATGCGTTCGTCCTTTCTTATAGATTTCTCCTTTCTTTACAATAATTGCCGACGTGTCTTCACAGTTTTCTACGTCACAGCTATGTAACGTGATCGTTTTGGCCGCGCGCTTAATGAGAACACTTTTTGGCCGACAAATCGTAATTTTAAAGCGCAAAAAAATTGTCAAGGAGAACTTGCTAGGCGTAAAGGCCGATTATTTCTACTTTTAAACGCAGCTATCAGAAAATGCAAAAAAAATAATTTCGTGTACATGTCTGGCATATTATTATATTAAGATAAATGAAATCTTTTACTTCTAAATTTCTTAATATGTTCTTCGTTATTTGTTTTTTAGGAAATCGAACTTGTAGTGACATCAAATACTGCAATCCTGAGGCTAAAAGTGGCTCTTATGTCATCGACCCTGATGGAGAGGGCGGAGTGAAACCATTTAAAGTCTTCTGTGACATGACTGACAAGGGCGGGATAGGAGTGACAGTTATCAGTCACGACAGTGAAAACAGAACACTGGTGGCTGGGTTTGACGACCCTGATAGCTATTGGCGTAATGTTACTTATGATGAAACCAGTCTAATTCAGCTAGCAAGCTCAACAGCTTCATCTTCTCACTGTGAGCAGTTTATTAAATACGAGTGCTATGAGTCAAGGCTCCTTTTCAATGGTAACATGTACGGCTGGTGGGTATCACGTGATGACGAGAAGATGGAGTACTGGGGTGGAGTCGACTCTGATCCATTGAAATGTGCATGTGGGTTGAACAACACGTGCGCGGACATCAGTTACGGCTGCAACTGCGATAAGAACGATGGGAATTGGCGAGAGGACAGCGGTTTACTAACAAACAAGTCCAAGCTTCCCGTGATTCAAATGAGGTTTGGAGATACCGGTGTATTTGTGACTCCCTATGAATTAGGATATCACACGCTTGGAAAACTGGAGTGTTATGGACTCGCCTAGAACTCATGAAGACTGTTTATTAACCATTTAAGAGATAACTTGAACAGTGTACTCTCTCCGTCAGACCTGAATTATAGTTATAATTATTAGTTATATTTACATGTAACATTTTCAGAATCTCAGTAGTGTTGTGCAGTTTTCCATGGTTTTTTTTAATAACGCACGTGCTAGACTTTTTCAAAAAGGCAGCCAATATTGTTAAGAGCAAACTTGAATCGCTTAAAGAAACATCTTCCTTTTCGAATTCTCATGCCCCAGTTGATTTAGGATTCCATCGCGCTGAAAAGTAACAAACTTTTGCCGGATAGCGCACTCTATAGAAAGGTTACTCTTTTTGAAAATTAGCGTGTTTACATTTACACTTCTCGAAGGACACCCACGAAGAAGTCCATGGTGTTTGTATCGCTAACAAATGAAACCACCTTACTTTAGAAAAAGATCACGGGTAAGGCCAGCTAGGTTAGGTTTGGAAATCTAACTGCTCTAACTTTCTTCTTTCACGACACCACTTGCATCAAGTCACCTCAATCTCATTGACGAGCGTTCTTAGTATCTCTAATTTGCATGTTTTTTTGGGGGGGATTTTAGTTTTTCGAAACTTAAGTGAAAACTGCTCAGTATCGCAAAGTAATCCGGCAGTCTTCTAAAGGACAGCAGATGATCAAATGTAGCGGCAGCAGATAACGAGGAGTGCTACAGCTTTCAAACAGGATCGATTGGTGGTTATTTCAGGTGACCTTCAGTCTCTTAATTGGCGAGAGGTAACCAGCCGCTAATCCGTCAGTGCCAGTAGCTCTCCGTTCAGATAAGCACCTGAAATAGTCATCAGGCATCAGATTTTACGGCAATTGCATAAGGCGAAAAGTAGCTCTAATTTGATTCTCTTACTACATCAGAACTGAAGTCATGTAAAGCAGCAAAGTAATTTCTGATTCGCGAATAATAAAGATATTGAAACAAAGAAAGATGTTTTCCTTCCTACCTCGAATGTGCAACAAAGGAAAAAATGGAGACCTCATGATGAATTAAAAATTAAAGCTCCAACGCTCTACCCCTGAATCACAGAGACTCTGTGGTAAGCTAAGCCATTACTAACCTCATGTCACACGCACGAGGAATACTGTAAAGATCAGCTATGCAGATATTTCCACTTTAGGCTCAAAACAGGTGCAAACAAGAAGCAAGGGATTCAATTTTTTTCCGTTTACTTTGAGGTCCAACGCTTAACCTCTCTAACAAAAGAATACACTCGTCCATGTCAATGGGAGAACCCATAATCCATCAAATATTTTTGCTCGCGTGCGATTGGTCTAAACGTGACTCGTGACCGAAAATATCCCCGCTACAAGTGGGAAATATCCCAGGTAATAACCCACCCATTGATGTTCGCGACTCAATTGGCTTCTGTATGTCATGTGGTACAAAATCACCGGACAATAGTCACGCAATAACCCCCCTATACGTCGATATTTGTCCTCCGTTAATTTCCGTCTAAAAGAAACAAAGCCATAATCTTTGTCACCTAACTACTCGTTTGGTAGAGTCCAGTGGTAATGACGTTTAAAAACTGACCTCAAATGCTACTCCAAAAATTACAACAAACATGACGAGCTTTGCTCACCAAAAGAATTTATGCAAATGAGGCTGAGGCGGATCTGAGGTCCGCCTGGCAATTATTAACTGTAAGAGAAGAACTGACTTCGCGCCCACAGAACGACCTAGGTGTTGCGGATGAATTTTCAGTAATTACTTTTTCGGCACTTTTCGGCGTCCAAATTGCATGGCGAGAGTAACCCAAAACCTTAAAAAGGAAAGTGTCTCGGCATAGTAAAATAATAGAAATATTAAATAAACAGCCGCTCCCTCTAAAAGAGGAAAACAACTTTAGCTTCTTGTGGTTGGTGCCAATTTATAGTCAGTGTCAGTTTATTTCATATATTGTTAGCCTGGTGCGAGCCAAAACATAACTTCTTACAGCAAACCTGCTAACAGGGACATGTGAAGGAGTAACTAGAAATTTATTTTCAAGTTTGTCGTAGAGTAGGGAGCAGAGTACCAAAAATCTCTTTAAAATTAACAAAAACTATTGGCCAAAGACAAGCACAGAGGGGCTGAAAAGGCTCAAGCAAATGCTACCTTCCATCACTGCAGTCCGTTGGTAAGATCTCTTCATATATTTGGTGCTTAACACTCTTCGTATTTCTTAAAATAGAAACTGGATGATTCAAGGAATGTTTACTTTGTTTCTAGTCTCCATGTGAAAGCGCTCCTTGTAAGAACGGTGGCCTGTCTATGTTCCTGAATATGAAAGGAACTCCTATCACTGTGATTATCAGCCTGGATTCAGTGGAACTCACTGCAAACGTGGAGGTATTAAATTCATTTCAAACTGAGAGGTACAAATTCTAAAGTAGAAGTCATACTGTCGTCTTTAGTTATAACTAAATGTCATTGAAAACTTTGTGCAACTGCTTCCATCTACATCTATAGTGTCCTGCAACATGTTTCCAATAAGAAAGGTATTGAAAGTTCGACCTTACTCGGCCATTTTTGTTTTTCTTCATTTTTCATGGAAATGAAACTTTTGAAAGATGAATATATACAATCTCTCAAATGGCTTCTCGCGTCAATAGTTCTCCTTTCCCGTAAGAACGGGGATAATCTTTTGTGAAATAGTCGTTTCTCTGTGTCTTTTTATTTTTCAGGAAATCGAACCTACAGTGATATCAAACACCCCTACCCTGGGACTCCAAGTGACTCTTACGTCATCGATCCTGATGGAGAGGGTGGAGAGAAACCTTTTAAAGTCTTCTGTGACATGGCTGACAAGGACGGTGTTGGAGTGACAGTTGTCAGTCACGACAGTGAAAACAGAACGCTAGTGGATGGATTTCAGGACCCCGGCAGTTATTCGTGCAATGTCACGTACCAGGGAACCAGTCTCCTTCAGCTGACAAGTCTAACAGCTTCATCTTCTCACTGTGAGCAGTTTATAATGTACGAGTGCTATCACTCAAAGCTCTTTTGCGATGGTTACGGCTGGTGGGTATCACGTGATGGAGAAGAGATGAAGTACTGGAGAGGAGTGGATTCTATCGATTACAAATGCGCATGCGGCTTGAACCATACATGTGCAAACCCTCAGTACGGATGTAACTGCGACAAACTTGACCAACAATGGCGAGAGGACAGTGGTTTACCTACCAACAAGTCCAGGCTTCCCGAGAAGCAACTGAGGTTTGGAGATACCGGCTATACAAATAGTGATCAGGGATACCACACACTTGAAAAGTTGAAGTGTTTTGGACTCATATAGATCGTAACTGTCTACCCGCTATTTTTAGACTCGCCTGTTATAGCACTGTAAAGTAACATGCTATCTGTTATGATAGTTCGCTGCCTGAAAGGAATTCCAGGATGGATAAATATCAGTAGGAAGGTTAAAATGTTTGGCGCATGTGTTTTAGCATATTAAGCATAATTTTAGGCGCCGAAGGCGCCATTTTCGCTGCTTGTAGTTTTGAGACGGAGATTGTTAACGGTATGAAGAGCATTTTTGAAAACAATAAACATGTAGTCCAAATACCGTGAAATTGAAAAAAAAAACCCGATAATCACTTACAGATTTGTACAATATTGTTTTACAGTATATGACGATTAAACAACTTCGTGTGTTTGCCTTGTTAGTCTCCCAACATTCTGACAATTGTAGTTTTCAACATACTCGGTCCTCGAGATTTTTCCCGTAAGCCTTAGACACTCGTTGATATAAATTCTCTTAGATTAAAGTGAGCAACTCAAGTACACTGCGCCGACGAATAATTCGAAGGCCCCATTCTAACTGAGCCGTTGGTGAGGCACTATCACTGTCAAAAAAATGAAATGAAATAATACAGACCGCAACAAATAAGTTACTTATAGTATAACTGCCCGCACGCATAAGCTCCAATGATTCCTGAATCCTAAAGAGGAATGTTATGGTTGTACCACATTTGCTTACCTGATTGTTTATCATGTAAAGACAGATTTCTCTCGAGAGCTTCCTCTTCAGAGTCTATCGGTCAAGTTGTTATACTCTAAACCAAAACTATTAAGACCTCTTTCATCGATGACTGGCCTGATTTATACGATTAAGAATGCAAGTCAAGCTGGACTTTTAAAAATCAGTTTGAAAACCCCTTTTGTAAAAGTCAATAGAAACTAAGTCGGTGAATTATTTAACGCTGGGAGCAAGAAAGATGTGTGAGAGTGCCTCCAGTTACTCGAGCTTCTTGAGTTTATTGAGTCAATTTACTTTTATGTTAAACATTCTTAACAGGGTCCTCCACTAAGCTTCATTGTGTGCAAAATATCATTAGCACGATAACAAAATAAAGCAACCTCGCGCTATTGAATGTGTAGGTTACAATACTTGTTTACGTAGACAGTGCTGGTACAGACAAAATATTATCAGCAGTCAAATTTAATGATCTTGATCACAGTGATCAGTCATTTTGACGTAGACTTCTCAGTATTCTAGCTTCTTCAAATAATCAACACAAGGAGTATTGCATAAAAGCTAATTAGTTATCATATAAAAGGACCTCTTGTTGCAGCGTTTAGATCATCCCTGTTGAAGGCACTATATAGGCAGGAGTGTCGAAACGTTGGGTCTATGAATTGTAACTTCTTCGGTTACATTCATTCAATCTGTAAACCAGAGTAGCATCAAACCATTTCTGATTGTCCACCTGGTTACCGTGTGAACTTTAATATTTTTTATATTGTGGAAGGTCACAAACTTGCCTAATTTTGATCACGTGATTTCTTATACATATCGAAAAGCTCATTCATCTGAACTTAACATCGTAAGCCTGAGTCGTCTCATGGTAAACGCGAGCTATTTCTCAAAAATAGCCAGCTTTTCTCTTCTCTTCTTGTTCTCGGCATGATGTTACCCAAATACAGAGTAGTAAGTGAACTTTTTTAATGAATATTTTCTAGTGAATTTTAAACAAACCTTTGCCGTATCTGGTTAATTATTGTCTGCCACAGTAGTTAAAATGTATGTATCTCACGCCCTGTGCAGATCACAGAGCTGCAATGCTCGAAGGGAATTTGTACATTCTACATTACGAATGTCATTTCTTGTTTTCGTAAGAGAAGGTTATAATGTTCTTTTCTATCGACATGTGTAATATCAAACCCGTCCATTGATTTTCGCGCAGCTCTGTTACCTACTTTATTTGACGTGGTACAAAATCAACGGACAATTATCAGCCAATAACCCCATGTTAATATTTGTCCGATTATTTCCGTCGAAAAGCGAGAAAGCCCAACAGTTTCACTTTCACGACTTAATTACTTGAAAAGGGAGAAAAACGAACTTATTTTGTAGAGTCCACAGGTGTTGGGAATTAAAGGCTGATCTCAAATGCTGCTCTAGAAAGTACAAAAAAGATAACAAAACTTTATTTTATACGCACGATACAAAAATTAATGAGAGGGTTATAAAATAAATATCCCCCCTCCTAGCTTGCTGGCATGTCGCCTGATAATGCCCTTGGCTGAGAGATTGTCCTCAAAATTTCAAATTTACCCTCAAAGCCTTGCTTCTTGGCCAAAGATTCATTTTTTGGACAATTTCTCGGTCGTGGACATTATCAGCCGACATACTCGACATAGCCGCCTGCCTCGACAGCCTTCTCGTGTTTTTCCTTTAATAATAAGAGTGTCAATTCCAAGAACCAGTTTCTTCCTCACTCCTAAGGTCGTCAGGCAAGGTACTGGTGAATGTTTGGAGACGAAGGTGCGAAAGACTATAGAGGTCTAGGAATTTATTGGTCATCAACATGCACGAGTAAAACTGCTTGACGCCAGTGCTGTCAGCCGGGGCCATATAAACTTTGATGATCTCACTGGAGATATCAGCTGTGGAACGGACTTATGACGTACACATTACACTTATGATGTCGGATATAGGGGAGAATGTGGGGTTCTGCTCCCCCACCATCAGGATTTTTTAACTACTTGCCTAAAAGCAAAATTCTTTCAACGACAGGATCGCCTATGAGTACTCAGCTTGAAGAAACTAAAGGTTATCATGTAGAGATATTCAGTACTTTGTAAAAACTAAAACAAATACAAAAAATTGTTTTCTGCATCGAAGTTTGGACTACCCCCTCCCCCTTCCCCCAAATATTGAAGATGAGAACCGTGGTAAATCCAGTAGAAGTGAGCGTTCCAAGATCGACGAGAAGAGGCACGATGATGCAAATCAATGAAATTCCGGGAAGTATCAAACTGTAGTAAATCCAGAACACAATTCTTATGGGAGGAGCCCACAATCTCAGAAAGGTTTCATCGATAAAGAAAACTGAAAAAAATGAAACTTCTCAAGCTTATTTCATAATTAACATAATGTCATGATCTGTTCTTACACAGAGCAACATCTCTTTAATTAGAAAGCTCTACAAGTTTTAAAACGAAGTGCGAAAGCTTATGTTACAACAAAATGCATTGGACTGTTCTTTGAATAAAGCGACAGCTTTTTAATTACAAACTGCAACTGGTACTCATAAGAGCGAAAGTAATATTCCGGGGTGCGACAGTAATTGCAAAGAGCGAAGATTATATTACAAAGTGCGACAATTTTTTTATTAAAAAGCGAGATATGTGTACTTATAAAGTGCGATAGTTATTGCAAGGGCGATGATTATTGCGACAGGAAGTTAAACAGGTGAAACACATCAACATACTCCAAGACAACGAAACTTTCCTAAACGGGTGAGGAGATCAAATAGTTAAGATGGACCAATCTAGCAACCAAAATAACCCAGCTTTTTTACGAAAGAGGCTTTCGTATTTCAATACGATTATGAACGATGGCTTTTGTCTGACGTACACGTTTCTCACGTGAAACGTTTATTCCATTCATATACGTTAATGAAGTATTATTTTAAACATAAGCTCAAGTTTCACGATACTGAGATAGTCTTGGCTCTCGTGGATTTGAATTTAGATCGATGTAGTGAATTCTATACGGTAATTTTCCTTTGAACTTAACATAAAAAAATAATGATTAGGGAGATTAAAGTGGGTGTATCGACAGCCGTCACTTAAAAATTACTATTCGGCATAATAGACATAAAATGTCAAAAAACAAAATTAAAGTCCTATTTTTAATTTTGCGTGTTATTTTCCCATTCCCGCTCAGCTTTGTAACAGCCCCCCAGCGCGCATCAACGCCGACAGGCTAAACAGCGTCAAATAGCTTGCTTCAATGTGATCGGATAACAGCCTTCACAAGCGTGAAGTGGAAATACATTTATGTAAACAAACTCCGACGCCCCGAAAAATTTTAAGTCGTTTTCTCTGGCAAAGTGCTTTGGCTTGAGTTTTGATCTTTGGAAAGTTTATTGTTGGCTGGTATTCAGTCAATTTTCGTGAAATTTGATGATAATGTCAGAATTATAATGAACCCCAAAAGTGTGTCCCAGATTTTCGATTTTTCCTTATTTCTCGAGATATGGCGACTACATAGAAAACTTTGCTCAAGAGTGCTACTTTCAAGTTTAAAAGATAATAATCCAAAAATAACGAATCGTAAAAATACAAATCCCGGACACCCTTTCCAAGTTCAAAATATATGCAGATCACGTTCCGATATAAAAGAAACGTGTTGATTAAAATGCGTCGTCTTATAAACTTATCTTGTAAAGCGTCGCGGCGTGAGAGAATAAGCTCCCGTTCTGTTCAATGCATATCTCAAATCACTCTTTATTAAGTTTTAAGAAAATGTATTCTTTTACTGGAATAGGGCGCATAATTTTAGGCTATCTCAGTTTGAATGAAAGCGCTAATTTTCCATCTGTGATACTTTAAGCTCAAAGTATCACCTGCTTTAGATATCAAACGTTCACCACTCTTCGATGTCTTTTGCGTTTTTCTCCTTTGTCTTTTTCCGCCTGGCAGTTAAGAGAAAATGGATTTTTTTTGTGTGACATTTTTTCAGTACACAGAACATTTAACTAAGTATTGAATTCATAGAAGAAACAAGAAAGTTCTTGTTAACGGACAAATTGACATATAAGGTATTTGAAAAAAATTTTAAGCGGATGTTATACTCAGTGTCACACTATTCAACGGTTGGATCGCTGAAGTGTTTTCGACTCATTTAAATACAGGTCACGAACTTTTAATAGTTACTATAGTGATACTTGTATATCAAAATCCATTTGTTTTTAATAATAAACATATCCCTTTTACCGCGTTTGAGAATTCCAAGAGACGTGAAAGCTGTTGCCTGCGGTGAAAAATCTGCCATCGTTTTACAAAACTCATACATGCTTCTAATTCGTCGAAATACATCTTTGATGTAATTTTTATGATGACACAATTTGTTAACCAAAGCAAAGGGGAGACGACCAAGCTAGAAGTTAGTCTGCTAAGAAAATCTTAAATTAAAGATTCAAAAGACTTTATAGTTGCAAACTTTCACCCCTTTTGGGGTCCAATAAAATATGCTAAATCTGAAAATGACTGTAAGTCTAATATGGGCACTTGAATTCGAAGCCTAAAGTAGATAGTCATCTTTGTTACAATTTTTCTTTTTCCCTCTGTTTGAATTTTGCAAGTGATTAAATTATTTGTCTGAGACATTTCATCGGATAGACCTTGATGACCTCTCGTTGGCGCCTTCTACATTTCAATACAATGCACGCGAATTCTCAATACCACTAAACAACAAAATGTTATGTATTATGTTAAGGATTTAAAATTGTACGACCATTACAGTCCCCTTCAGGATAAATTATATTAATACTCACTGTCGCCTTCTCTCCCCCTACCCATGGAGCCTAAAAACGTTGTCAATCGTTTTATTCTTCAACTAATGGCCCACTCTTTAAATGCTCTGAAATACCCTTGAGCAGGAAACGAAGTCGGTCCTGTTTTTATTCATCAGAAAGGGCAACTTAATCTGGCGACGCAAAGCAATGAAATGATCAGAAAATACGATCTCAGGGAAATCATGATTCTTTTAAGCCATCATGTAGATAAAGTTTCCTCGATATGTTTTTATTTTATGATCATTTCCGGTGAAGTTTGAATATATATTGATAACGAAGCAACAAAGTGCATGTTGCTGCCACCGTTTTGTTTCAATATAGCACTTTGCATAAACTGTTGAGCAAAAAGTCTAAGCCTATTGATTTACGAGAGTACATGTCTGTTGAACTAACCATACATTTTTTGGCGACGATATCTACTTAGGTGTTCAAATAAAAATTGCATTTTTTTTCCAGTTTATACAGTTTTTCCTCTCGATTAACTTAGTTTCAAAGATAAAGCGCATTCGGAATGAGAGATAAAAGAAACGCATAAAAATATAATATCATAGCATCAACTTTTCTAAACATGATACACAACGTGTCAAAATATCTGAATATTCGCCAAAGTCATGACGCCTTCTCCTTTATTGTATAACAGTGGATTGAATTAATTAGTGTTTCTGCAAGCCGGAGGCATTCCACATTTTGACGCTTAAACAAGTTTAGGCGCAATTAAATAATACCAGAGGTTGCAAAGATCTTCCGACGATCTTTTGGTATATTGACTGAAGTTAAATAATTTTTTTGGTTCCTGATTGGTATCCTTCTAAACAGCTATCGCTGGTAAAACCCCCATTGTTCGTTCTCTCCAATGTATTTCCTGCCGACAAGGTGTCTTTTGCTGTTATTATAGTGCACTAACAGACCGTTGTTTTGCATCTCAGGCCTACATAAGGCGGAGAATATATTTTTATTCCAGTCGAGCAGAACAGGTGTAATTCAACGCTGTTTGAAGGCTTTTTTCAAAGTGCACCTGAAGTTATCCTGAGCGAGTCATCTGACCATTTCTCTTAAGTGAAATGTTATTCTTGGCTAGTTCTGTAACATGTTCGATAAACAACCTTCGCAAATGTAAGTTTACTTATTTGGATATCTTTTTTGAAACTTTTACCGGAAATATTTTTATGAGTAACTCTGCAATGTTTATATTTAAAAACAGTATAGTGTTTAATTGAAAATGCTAATAAAAACAGAGATGAAACGACCGACTTTTTTTGCAAATAAAATACATTATCGAGGCTCGCGCGTTTTCCGATCTTCACATGTCAGACAGACATGACGTAGATGAATTTAAGAGGAAAACAACTTTAGCTTCTTGTAGTTGGTACCAAGTTATTACAGAAATATGAATAGTTAATAGTATTTAAACCTATTTGTATAGAAGGCATCAATAGACATCGTTTCCTCAGTAAAAAAGAAAAAAAGAGTTTGAAAGCAATTCTTGTAAAAAACGCTTCCTAAGAGAAAAGTGTCTTGGCATGATAAAAATAATAAAATATTAAATAAACAGCTGCTCCGCCTAAAAAGAAGAAACTTGTGGTCGGTGCCAATTTATGATCTCAATTTATTTCATTTATTGTTATCCTGGTGCGAGCCAAAACATAACTTCTTAAAGCAAACCTGCTAACAGGGACATGTGAAGGAGTAAGTAGAAACTTATTTTCAAGTTTGTTGTAGAGTAGGGAGCAGAGTACCAAAAATCCCTTTAAAATTAAGAAAAGATTGGTTCAAACCCATATAATAAATCATTAGCATGGTCAGAGTTAATAGATATTGAAATGAATATTTAAAACTTTTGAAACCCGTTGTATAGAAGGTATTAATTGACATCGTCCCCTCAATAGAAAAAAAAACAGTTTGAAAGCAATTCTTGTTAAAAAAAGCTAAAAAGTATCATGCAGGTTTGTCAAGGAGAGTTTTATTTAAGATGACTTTTTAAAACTTACTGTCCCACCTCTACTTCCCCTATAGTAGAAGTGTATCCCACCCATGGTACCTGCTTCATAGATGTGGCTACTAATTCTTAATTACCGACAGGCAATTATAAAGGACCTGTTTTTCATTTGCATATAAGTCTTCGGTGTCATACATCAGCTCATTCCCGTGGTGAGAGTTCATCGGCTACTGTCATGCTGCTTCTGCCACTCTTGTTGTTTTTTCCTTCTTTGTTAGGATTGTTGTTTGCCACACAAAACAGCGCTCTCTATCGATATCCAACAGGCCGTGCTTCGTTTGGTAAATTCAAGTGCGACCCTTTCTATTTCTTATGGCAAGAGAAACTTACATCGTCCATGGTGGAAGATAAGTTGGACTGCACTTTCCTTTGTGTCGGTGAACCAAAGTGCTATTCGTTCAACATAGCAGTGTATCCTGACTCCAAAGGTCTTTATCTGTGTGAGTTATTGGCCACAGACAAGTACAGAGAGGCTGAAAAGGTTCATGCAAATGCTACCTTCCATCACTGCAGTCCGTTGGTAAGATCTCTTCATATATTTGGTGCTTAACACTATTCGTATTTATTAAAATAGAAACTGGAGGATTCAAGGAATGTTCACTTTGTTTCTAGTCTCCATGTGAAAGCGCTCCTTGTAAGAACGGAGGTGTCTGTGTTCCTGAATATGAAAGGAACTCCTATCATTGTGAATGTAAGCCTGGATTTTGCGGAACTCACTGCAAACGCAGCAAACGTGGAGGTATTGAATTTAGTCTTTTACTGTTGCATGTAGTAGAACTGGAAGAGTCACATACTGTCATAAACCACTATTCTTGTTTGTATATGGTTTACCTCTTTTCAACTTTTGGCTATGAATTCAATTTAAATCGGTCTATTGTACTTCTTTTCCTCAATAAACATTCCCCAAGTATATTTTCCGTAAAGAGAAAATAAATTTCGTGTACATGTCAGGCACTTTATATTAAGATAAATGAAATCTTTTACTTCTAAATTTCTTATGTTCTTTGTTGCTTTGTTATTTGTTTTTCAGGGGATCGAACTTGCAGTGACATCAAATACTGCAATCCTGAGGCTAAAAATGGCTCTTATGTCATCGACCCTGATGGAGAGGGCGGAGTGAAACCATTTAAAGTCTTCTGTGACATGACTGACAAAGGCGGGATAGGAGTGACAGTTGTCAGTCACGACAGTGAAAACAGAACACTGGTGGCTGGGTTTGAAGCCCCTGGTAGCTATTGGCGTAATGTTACTTATGATGAAACCAGTCTAATTCAGCTAGTAAGCTTAACAGCTTCATCTTCTCACTGTGAGCAGTTTATTAAATACGAGTGCTATGATTCAAGGCTCCTTCGCAATGGTAGCATGTTCGGCTGGTGGGTATCACGTGATGACGAGAAGATGAATTACTGGGGTGGAGTCAACTCTGTTCCCTTTAAATGTGCATGCGGTTTGACTGACACGTGCGCGGACAGCAGTTACGGCTGCAACTGCGATAAGAACGATTTGAATTGGCGAGAGGACAGCGGTTTACTAACAGACAAGTCCAAGCTTCCCGTGATTCAAATGAGATTTGGAGATACCGGTGAATTTGTGCTTTACAATGAATCAGGGTATCACACCCTTGGACCACTGGAGTGTTATGGACTCATCTAGAACTCATGAAGACTATTGATTAACCATTTAAAAGATAACTTGAACAGTGTACTCTCTCCGTCAGACCTCAATTATAGTTATAAATATTAGTTATATTTACATGTAATATTTTCAGAATCTCAGCAGTGTTGTGTAGTTTTCCATGGTTTCTTTTTAAATAGCGCATGTGGTAGACTTTTTCAAAAAGGCAGCCAATATTGTTAAGATCAAACTTGAATCGCTTAAAGAAACATCTTCCTTTTCGAATAGTCACCAGGCATCAGAGTTTACGGATATTGCATAAGGCGAAAAGTAGCTCTGATTTGATTCTCTTCCTACATCAGAACTGAAGTCATGTAAAGCAGCAAAGTAATTTCCGATTCGCGAATAATAAAAATATTGAAACAAAGAAAGATGTTTTCCTTCCTGCCTCGAATGTGTAACAAAGAAAAAAATGGAGACCTCATGATGAATTAAAAATTAAAGCTCCAACGCTCTACCCCTGAATCACAGAGCCATTACTAACCTCATGTCACACGCACGAGGCATACTGTAAAGATCAGCTATGCAAATATTTTCACTTCAGGCTTAAAACAGGTGCAAACAAGAAGCAAGGGATTCAATGTTTTCCGTTTACTTTGAGGTCCAACGCTTTACCTCTCTAACAAAAGAATACACTCGTCGATGTCAATGGGAGAACCCATAATCCATCAAATATTTTTGCTCGCGTGCGATTGGTCTAAACGTGACTCGTGACCGAAAATATCCCAGCTACAAGTGGGAAATATGCCAGGTAATAACCCACCTATTGATGTTCGCGACTCAATTGGCTTCTGTATGTCATGTGGTACAAAATAACAAAATAACCCCCCTATACGTCGATATTTGTCCTCCGTTAATTTCCGCCTAAAAGAAACAAAGCCATAGTCTTTGTCACCTAACTACTCGTTTGGTAGAGTCCAGTGGTAATGATGTTTAAAAGCTGACCTCAAATGCTACTCCAAAAATTACAACAAAGTCAACAAAATTTGCTGTCAACGCGCGTTACGATAATTAATGAGAGGGTTAGAAAATACATCCAACCCCTTTTGGCTTGCTGGTACGTTGGCTACTAGCTGATAATGTCCACGGTCAAGAGATTCTCCCCAGAATTTTACATTTTCCCTCGAAGCTTCGCTTCTCGGCCTCATATTCGTCCATTAGACATTTTTTCTGCCGCAAACATTACCAGCCTACATACCAGCCGCCTGGAGGGTTTATTTACCAAATATACCCCGAGTGATGTTCTCCAAATTTCATACGTCACATCCACAACATTAAAACTATTGGTTCAAAATTTAATTCAAGATGAGAGGGGGTTTTTATTGTTACAAAGGAATGAACATGTTTATCTTTTTTATAAAGTTGTACCAGAGGACAATGAAAAGTAACTATCCCACGCAGGAAACAATTAGCTGTTCGTAAATATTTTTCTTGGGCCTTGCTCCATTTGACGCAAAATTATGCTCTTCACAACAACAAACAAACAACAAACAATCTGTTCCTCGTAGTTCACCATTTTCCTCGAGCTTCGCTATCGGTAAACTGTTCACATTTCGGGACAGATGATGTGTGCGGACAAACATCCGTGCATATTTTTGTGCCAAATGGAGGCTATTGTTTATTTACTCGTTACCACAAAATTGAAAGTTAAACTGAGTAGCTAATTTTATTCACTTAATTACGTTATTGAGCTTAGACTTTCATTTTCTTCTTCAAGTTCCTGCCAAGTAAAAGAAAGACAGAATAGACAAGTCACATCAAAGGGAAAGAAGTTCATACCAAGTCCTGAAAACTTTTAATTACTGACAGAAGTGGTTAAGGCTTGCCACAGGAATTTTCAGGTGCTTTAAATTTAAAGGAATGTTATAAAACTTTTCCATTGAATTAAGTGATAAAAAGTTCAAACTCCTTGCTTGGAAACTTTTTTTCTGTTGTTGTGAAAAAAGCTTCAGGAATGCTAGACTCTGGATTTGACTCTGAAACTACTCGTCCTCAAAAAGACCCTTTGCTTGACAAATCAGACATATCATTATCTTTGTTTCATAAATGGAGCAAATTCCAGTTCTTCAATTTGCCTTGGGGAAGTTCATCTTTATTCATTACCACCTAATGGGGGGAAGGGGTGAAGGGGGTGCGGGGGTGGAGGAGGGGGATCAGTTGTCACTGACAGAGAAAAAAGTTTCTGACAGAGAAAGTCCTCTAACAGTCATATTTTCTGATAGCTCAAGAATTTTTCTTGTCTTTACTCCAAGTGTTCATTAGCTTATTCTGATCATCTATTTCCATTTTATAATACTCAATCAAAATGCCCTCTATATATAGTCAGAGTAATTAACCTTCAGTTGTTTCCGCAACTTCAAAACTTCTATTTCTTGCTTGCAAGTGGCAATTTAATGGCACCATACAAACAGAAGAAAAAATACAATTAACCATCTCTTGCAACAGAGAAAAAGATTAATATGGAATTTTAACAATTAAATGATAAATTACTTGAGCATGGAGACCACAAGTGTATCAAGGAGGGGGGAACAGTACCAGTACCACTCAATACTAACTCAAGCTAATTGATTAAAATTAGGTACATCTTTTTACCTTGGATTTCACACCATCAACTTCTTTTTCAAGTTCCTTTTCCTTTATATGTTTGTACTGAAGAGTTAAAACAGCTAATCTATTTAAAGCAAACTGCAACAGGGAGA